GAGTAATTCTGACCATACTCTGTTCTTAAAACACAAGGGAGGAAAGGTAACAGCTCTTATCATTTATGTCGATGATATGATTATTACTGGAAATGATAAGCAGGAAATTTCTCAACTCCAACAACGTTTAGCAAAGGAGTTTGAAATGAAAAATCTTGGTGGACTCAAGTACTTCTTGGGCATTGAAGTTGCTCGATCAAAGCAAGGCATTTTTCTCTCACAAAGGAAGTATGTTCTAGATTTATTGGCAGAAACGGGAATGTTAGATTGCAAACCTGTGGACACTCCAATCGTTCAGAATCACCGCCTTGGGGAATATCCCAATCAAGTACCCACTAACAAAGAAAGATATCAAAGATTGGTGGGACGACTGATCTACCTATCCCATACCCGACCCGACATTGCGTATGCTGTAAGTGTTGCTAGTCAGTTTATGCATTGTCCAAGTGAAGATCATATGGATGCGGTTCTTAGAATTCTTAAATATTTGAAGTCCGCACCGGGTAAAGGACTTATGTTCTCTAAAAATAGTCATCTGAATATCAGTGGCTATACAGATGCAGATTGGGCAGGGAATATCACTGATCGACGATCAACTTCAGGGTACTTCACATTTGTTGGTGGTAACTTGGTTACTTGGAGAAGCAAGAAACAGAATGTTGTTGCTTTGTCTAGTGCAGAGGCCGAATTCAGAGGAATGACCAAAGGAATTTGCGAACTCCTTTGGTTAAAGAAATTGCTTACAGAGATTGGATATGCACCTACATTAGGAATGCATCTACAGTGTGATAACAAGGCTTCAATATCCATTGCACACAATCCAGTCCAACATGATCGTACTAAACATGTTTAAGTGGATCGACACTTCATTAAAGAAAAACTTGACAATAAAGAAATTTAGCTTCCGTTTGTCAAGTTCGAAAACCAACTGGCCGATATTTTGACAAAAGCAGTTTCTAGCAGAGTATTCCACAACTCACTGATCAAGTTGGGCATTTGTGATATCTATGCACCAACTTGAGGGGGAGTGTTAGCAATATTGGCATCTTGTGTGAGTGTCACCTTGTGAAACACAAAGACATGAAACACAAGACAACCCTTGTCTCATGGCACTTGTCTCATTCCTTGTTTTAGGGAATACTTTTCTTGAGCAATGTAATCCTTGTCTTAGGGAATGTTTCATGGAATGTCTTAGGGAATGTTTCATGGAATGTTTTAGGGTTATTACATGTATATATGTTTTGATGTGTAATAGAATGAACACAAGTTGAAATCAGAAAATATGCAAAGCTTCCAAAATTCTCTACACTCTCCATTATCTCTACTCAACCTTCAATATTTCTTCCTAATTTGACAATTTTTGCCTAGTGAAGTTTGATTGTTATCAAACTTCCACTGTTGTTTACTTGAGCTTTCATGACTTCATTGTTCCTCTTGCACGGAACACAATTAGTGTGTATGATTTTAGTTAGCAGGCAGTTCACTTCTCTGCAGGCTGAGAACTAGTATTCTGTTCTAATACCATTTATGAACATGCTGGTGATAGTGAAATTTTTTCGCATGTAGTGGTGTTAACTTAATTAATGAAGTGTACAGATCTCTGTGGCATGCACATGTAAATTGGTTGTAGATAAACTCCGTGTTTGTAGTGTCTAAGCATATTGAATCATCAATATCTTTTTAAACTAAAGATGCTTATGAATAGGGAGATAGTTTTACCATTTTGATTAACTTAATTCTACATAAAAAACTGCATTATTAATTATGATCCTGATTCTTTTGTTATTGGCAGTGGTGGCATCATTGAGAATTTTGGAATTGAAGTCAACATGAATATGACACCAGTAACAGGGCGTATCATTGTCCCACCTGAGTTGAAGTTGGGTCCTTCTTCTGATGGCAGGATGACTACGGTAACAGTTGACCGAGAGAAATGCCATTGGAATCTGGTTGGGAAGTCTCTAGTGGAAGGAAAACCAATCAGTCGCTGGGCTGTACTTGACTTCAGCAGATATGATCGATTCTGTCTGGACCCTAATCAATTCATCCCAAAGCTCATCACAAAGTGCAACAAACTGGGAATCAGAATGGGAGAGCCTGTTTTGTACGAAGCCACTTCCATGAGACCATTCACTAGTGTTCAGATGCTTCGTCAGCTGCTTGAAAGCATTAATGAACAGGCATACAAAAACAGCAAAGGCCATTTACAATTACTTGTTTGTGTAATGACTCGAAGAGATCCTGGTTACAAGTATCTGAAGTGGATCTCTGAGACTCAAATTGGTATAGTGACGCAGTGCTGCTTGTCAAATATGGCTAACAAAGCAAATGACCAGTATCTTTCAAATCTTGCACTTAAGATAAATGCCAAGCTTGGAGGCAGTAATGTAGAGCTAAGTAATCGGCTTCCCCTCTTTGGGGGTGCAGGCCATGTTATGTTTGTGGGGGCTGATGTGAATCATCCTGCTGCGCGGAACACGACAAGTCCATCAATTGCAGCTGTTGTTGCCACTGTAAACTGGCCTGCTGCGAATCGTTATGCTGCACGAGTCCGACCCCAGTACCATCGCACTGAGAAGATATTGAATTTTGGAGACATGTGTCTGGAGCTTGTTGAAACTTATGAGCGATTGAATAAAGTCAAGCCGGACAAAATTGTTGTCTTCCGTGATGGGGTCAGTGAGGGCCAGTTTGATATGGTTCTCAATGAAGAGTTACTAGATCTGAAGAGGGCTTTGGGAGGTATAAAGTACTATCCAACCATCACACTAATTGTTGCCCAGAAACGGCACCATACTCGTCTCTTTCCGGAGAGCATGAGGGAAGGTAGTTCCACAGGCAATGTATTACCGGGAACTGTTGTGGACACAGTAATCGTGCACCCATTTGAGTTTGACTTCTATCTCTGCAGTCATTATGGAGCCCTTGGAACAAGCAAACCAACACACTACCATGTTCTTTGGGATGAACACAGGTTTACTTCTGACCAATTGCAGAAGCTCATATATGACTTGTGCTTCACGTTTGCAAGGTGTACTAAACCGGTATCGTTGGTCCCACCGGTGTACTATGCTGACCTTGTGGCATATAGAGGGCGATTATACCATGAGAGTGTGGTGGGACAGTCTCCAGCTTCAGCATCCTCCTCCTCATCATCGTCATCCTCAGCATCGTCACCACTTTCATTGGCTTCTCTAGAGGAAAGGTTTTACAAACTGCATGCTGACCTGGAAAACATAATGTTTTTCATATGAAGGTGGAAGCATGATCTCGTGATCTCTCTTTTGTGGAACATGAAGGATACGGTTCTATAACTTGGCAAACCCTGGCGCAACTCCAACCTCCTGAAAAGGAGTTTGTGCGTGAATCTAATGGGTGTTTATTTCTTTTTTGTGTCGAAATGTTATGATCAGCATTTTCTCTACTGCGTATGGTCTGTGTGTTATTTAAGTATAGTAATTTGAGCTGTTTGTGTGTTGAACATTCTGTGTGCCCAAGGGGTTCTCAATTACTCTGAGAGGATCTAGTCAGTTGTAAGTCTTTGTAGTGTTGGGTTTCTTTCTTGTGTGTGATGTACGAATTGAGAATTACAAAATATTGTGGTTTGATATCAGGCTTTTTATGTCAGTTTGAATGTTATTTAATATTGTGGTTTCTTTGTTCGAACCTCGGCAATGCTTATTTGCATAACTTATGAAAGTACCACATAGTGACGTGAAAGGTAAATATTTTGACTCATAAAATTTTTTTATACAAATTTTATTTTTTTCTTGAGAAGTTGATAAAATTTTTATTACTTTGTGTTATTGGTATTTTTAGTCTCGTGTTGTTCCTAGGGGTGACAATTTTGCACACGACAGTCAAACTTGAATACGATAATCCGCTAACGCAAATAACCATTTTGATACGAAAGATATAATTCATTTTTCAATTTTCTAATATGCATTATAGAGTAATTATATAATCATAAGATTAATCTTTTTTTAGTATTTGATAACTATATTTAGGATGAAGTGAATTTTTATTGTACAAATATTGAATAAGTAAGAACTTGTAAATAAGTGAATGTTGATGTTAAACTTTCCGTTCACTTCATCCATTTGGGTCAACCCGAACACGATGATCAACTCGAAAATCATACGATTATAACTTAAACAAAACACGATTATAATGAGCTAATACCTTTGAATGTTTCATGAGGTTTGGGTTCCTCTTGGATCGAAAACACGATTAATTAAGAATGGGTATTTTTGTTTCAAGCTGTTCTTCTCATCCCATTTTATTAATATGATTGCAGGCTTTGATTCAGAAGTAGAGTCCAGCCTCTATATTTTGTCTTCAGTGCTGTTGTTTTTGGATCAGAAAGAAAGACCACGTATTGATTCTATTAGCTGGCTTATTTCAAGTTGCATTGATATTATTGTATTACTCATTCCATGAATGCTGGGTGGTGTTTCAGGCTAATGCAGAGTTTCTAACCAGGTTTTGTACTTACCTTTGAAACCATAAATAGTATAATATTTTAAAGTTTGGTTCTTTTTCATGGCTCTCCCTCTATTTTTTTGCTTGCAGATCTGTTGGATTGGAAGTGTCTTTACTTGTGGTCCTTTCCTTGGATTCTTGTGAGTTCAAAGATTATCTAATTGAAACTGTGGTGCAAGTTAATGCATATTTTTTCACTTGTTTTTGAGATTCGGCCAATATGTGAAATTAAATTTCTCTTGGGGCTGGGGGACCACTGAAATGTGCAGGATATCTACAGACATATATGCTTGAAAGATTGTTGTTTCTGTTAGTTGGCGTTGCCTTTTATGCCGTTGGCTTTCAACTTGGAGATGCCCTTTGTTATAATACAAGGACAATGGCAGAAACATATATGTGTCATGAATTCACAAACCAAAGTTGAATTTGTTCTTTGGGTTGCTTTCAGAGCAACTTATCAAGAACTACAGGATTTCACACATACTCCAGACTCCAGTCATTGGTTGCATTTGGGATAAAAGATTGGATTAGAATGACAGGTCATTATTTTTGGGGGGGCCAATGATAAAATCATAGAGGAACCACTCTAAAATCATAGCTGTATGGGCCAACTTGCTATTTGGAGGGTAAGTGGAGGATATGACAGGTTGAGACTTGAGATTGGGTTGTTGGTAATTTTGGGAACTTGCATCTGGTGATGGTTTAGATTAGTGAATTGATTTGTCTACTTATGTAACTAATTTTGTGGTTTAGTTAATAATTTTGAAAGAATAATAATAGGAAAATGACAATTTATACCAGGCTGTAAAGGACCCACTAGTGTAGTGGTTTAGAGCAATTGCTCCCCTAGAAAGGTCCTGAGTTCAAGTCCTAGCATCCATGTAGTGTGTGTGAGTTTAGTATACTAGGTAGGAAAGGTCCTTAAAAAAAAAAAAAAAAATTATACTAGGCTCTGTTCTGTACTCATCATTCTTGGTTGCATAAATAATCTTTTCTCTCAAATATGCTGCACTATACAAAAATAGCCATTTATGGAACAAAGAAAACCATAACAAAGAAATATAGGGAATACATGCACACACTCAAAAAAAAAAAAAGATCCAGTAGAGAGACACTCCAATCCCAGCACTGCTAAACCTGCCTCCAAGGAAGATTCAATTCATTTTCTTGTCTTTCATTCATGTGGAGAAAATTCTAGGTCTCAAAGTGATTGATGCCTTGATTAATTGCTTGTGATGATTGAAATAAGCTCATTAGCTGTCCATGTCACTAAGGAGAGATTTTTAAGTTTGCTGAGCAATTCTTTGTCCACTGATGAGAGCATGGGGACATATTCATGAGCTGCAACAAACAAATTAATTAAATTCTTGATTTCAAAACAAGCAAGAAAAACAAAGCATTGAGCTTAGGATTGCAAGAAATTTGTATGATTGTATCTTCCCTTGTGGTTTTCTGTATGGAAAAATGTACCTGAACTTTTTGCAAGACTCAGTAATGAGTATGAAGCAAGTACTCTTTCCTCTACATCTTTGTCATAATTCAGTGATTCTAGCAACTGAGGCACAAGAATTGAGCATGCCATGGACCTCAAATTTTCATCTCCAACTGTATTTAGAAAGCTACTCATCCATGAAACGGTGACAAGGCTCGCTCGGGCTAAACTTGGAATGCCATTTGCTATTGAATCTGAAAGAGCCACCAATAGTTTCTTATTGCCACTTTTGAATAGAACAATGGCTGCTTTCCTTTGCCAATTTTCTGTTGCTTCTCCATCTTCGTTCTAATTTTCGGATCACATAAAATTATTGTCAGTATTTTTTTTTTCATAGATTGATAAATCTCAGCTGGTTTAGTGTAATAGAAAGCTTACTGAGTGTACAAAACCATCCATAACATTTTCTTTGAAGTGATATGAAGCCCTTGGCCAACAACTGAAACCTGCTTCTTGTAAAAGCCTATGTTCTGTTGATGCCTCTCCTGTGTAAGAAAACCAGCCCCCCAACATTAAGAGAGCACTTGCTGATCGTTCCTGGACTTTTTCATGACATGTTTGACAATTTAAAGCTGCTATAATTGCTTCAATGGCTTCTTCTCTATATACACTGCTCCTGAAAGTGTCTCCCTGCAACAAAACTGCTACTCCATATGGGAACTATTCAAGATATAAATTAAAAGTCCAGAGCAAAGATTGATTTACTTATGCGAACATTTTGGTTGCCAAAAGTTGAAAAAAGTTTAAATTTTAAGCAACCATTTCTATGAAAAGGATGCATAAACTCTAACAATGGATTTACCATAAGATCAAGCTGTAGTAAAATGGCTGCAATTAGTGGACGTTCTTCAGGTGCAGCTCTTTGGAGATGGACCAACAAAATTTGCATTGTGTTAAACCCACCATATCCTTCTTTCAGTCCATCTAGGATTTCATTGATCTTCTTTCGTCTGAGAAGAATCATTTAGTTGATCAAAATGTAAATAGAACATCAAAAAATAACCAGAAGACTCAAAAAGGTAAAAAGATAAAAAGATAAATCCATACCTACTAAGGCAGAGTATTTCAATCAATAAAGCAACTGCGGAGCCAGTACAGTTACTGCCATTTCCAAGTATAATGAGTTCAAGAAGAGAAGCCTTATTGAGAAAATCAGCTAAGTAGTTTCGACAGCTTCCATCAGCTCGAACACAACACGAAATGATGGAAGCAATATTGTTCCTCTCATGAGTATCCCCTCTCTCAATTTGTGTCACTAGAAGGCTCAACCCCCCTAGAGAAACCACCTGTCTAGCATTCTCTAAGTTTCTGTCTTCATCAAAACCAGTAAGAAGCTGGTCCAAGAGGTACAATGCTGCCACTTGAGGACTGCATTGAACCGTGAATAGGGTCTGCAACTGATCTCCGAACTCTAGCACTCGAAGGACTAGTGCCACCCAATCAACTGCTATCATCTGTTTTGCCTTTGGCTTTAACAGATAAAGCAGAATGGCAGCTTTCAAAAATAGACCACTACTTCTTAGAAGTCCCATGAAAATTTCAAGCTGTGGATCTGAATTCAGTATAATATGTCCGTTCATCTCATTTCTTGCTACAAATTCAGCTAACACTGATATGACTAATTCCAAAATTTCATCGTGGGTGGAAGCAAACAACACCTCCAGCATTCCCTGGATAACAGGTGCCCTTGCTAACTCAGCTTCAATGACAGGATCACCATGTGAGTCCAGCCAAGCTTTGGTAATTACACGAATTGCAATTTCGCAATCCATTAGGTTATCCGAGGAGTAAATAGTGCTAATAGCACCGCTTAAATTGCTTGAAGGAAGATGGGAATTGTCTTCTTTCCGGATTGAATTATTTTTGACAATAAGGTTCCTGTTCACCAAGCATTCGGTTGGTCCATTCTGGCACCTAAAGAATCCAAAATAGTCTGATTTCTGTGTCTCAGGCTCAGGCCAAAACTCAGTTTTTGGATTTCTATGATTTTGGCTGGATGACCTTCGTCCAGTCCTGCCTCCCCTCTGCCAAAGTCAGAAATAATGTGAATTCTCCACTACAACATTCAATTATTGCAAAAAATGAAGGGTGGAGAATTGAGATGAAGACAGAGTTACCCACATGAACATAACTGAGATTGTTGTAATTATCTTCATCTGCCCACAGATTTCCCTCCTCCTCATGCAAACCCCAAGTAGCATTCGAAACTCCATTTCGATCATAGAGGAGGTCTAGTGATCTTCGTTCAAGCGTGGGGCCAAATACAGCTCGGTATCTTTAGTGATTTTAGAAATCATGAAACAAGATACACAATTACAACACAAACTACAAGTTAAATCTACTTTCTGAATGTTTTGCAAGAAATGATTAAAATGTATCCATGGATTGGTGTTACTTACAAATTTTTGTTTAATGAGGAATGTGAAGTGTAAGAATCAGATGATCTCCTTCTTGATGATCTGCAACTGGATATTGAAGGTAAAGGTATATTAGGAGGAACAGGAGGAGGGGCCTCAACCCCAACTTTAAGCCACTCTTTGTAGTACAGAGCAAACTGTTTAGTTCCCATATCCATTTGGTCATTATAGACCTTGGTTATGGCTTTCATTTTCTTCTCCCTCTCAGGGTCCTCTGAGTTTGAAAGAACATCAGCTTCCTTGGCATACCAAATCTTCACATGAAGAAGATGTGGAAGAAAGAAATGCTCCCAAAGATCAGGAAGCAAATGGGTTCGAGCTAAAACCGGTGAATCACAGAACACTTGAAGTAAATGCCTAGCCGAAACTGGGTCATTTTTCTCAATCTTGTAAGCAATTGCCAAGTAGAGCTGAGCACAAGCAGAGAGATGTGAATTGGGTGTTCCACATGTTGAACCATTTTTGGACTTGCTAGAGTTTAAGGAAGCAACAATGCTCAAAACCCGAATCGAATTCCTTATTGTTTTCTTCCTTAATTCCTTATTTGATGACCATTGATCTTCCACCAACTTGTTAATGCTTTCAATACCCAATTCCAAGTTTGCAAACATCTCATTGTCCTCATCCTTTTTCTTTCTCACCAAACAACAACTGCATTTTTCCCAGATTGTTTCCCGGAAAGCTTCATCCTTTATATACCGGCCTGCACAACCACTAAGTATAGAAATCACAGCTCTGGTGGCAACTTCATCAATGGCAGGCTCATTAGTTCTTGAACTCTCTGAAACCAGTGACTTGGAATTTGATCTCTCTGAAGTAGAACTCACCCTTCTAGACGACCCTTTTCTCATGGCAGGCTTCTTAGCCTCGTGGTTGGAAAAGTCGTAACTTTTTCGACCCTGGCAGATGTGTATAGGCAGCAGAGCTATAGATTCATCTGGTGCAACTCTTTCTCTGTGTTTCACTGGTTTTGGGCTTTTTGGGTACTTTTTTCCAAGTTCAAGTCTTTCATCTGTGAGCAATTCTTGTAAGGAGGACATTTTTTGGTGGATAATTGGATTTGGGTTTGAAGCAAAGACGAGTGTGTGAAAAGCTTCACTGACATTCTCTCAAAACCAGAAAGTATACAAAAGACAGCTATTGCTATAGAAGAGAAACAAGAGAAAGAGGTGAGAGAAGGAGACAGAAATGAGGACAAAGACTGGTGTTGGCTGATTCTTTTTTGACGTTTTAACCGTCGACCCGCCTTTTAATTTAAGGGTGGGCACTGAACCGGTTTGAAATTGGACCGGGTTTTAGTTGTTCCATGAAAAATGTTTTATTTTAAGATCAAAATATCAAGCAAGAATTCACCAAAAAAGAAATCCAACAAGAAAGAGCAGCATATTTAGAATTTTGGAACCTGTGAGCTGCTTAATTGAGTTGGAACACACAATTCAAATTGCAGCTGTTCGAATAAGTTATTTGTAAAGTAAATATATTTAGGTACATTTTTAGTACTCAAACATCAAAATCAGAAAAGTTTAGATGACATGAGAGTTGAGCTATTATAGATTGATATGTTGAGTTTGGACGAGAGCTTATAATTTTCAGTGTTGATATTGCTCAATATCCAATATTATTTTGTGTTAAAATTTTCATTTTACTTTAAGCTCAAAATGAAACATAGTATTAGTATAGAAAAATGCCACATTTGATCTGTTTTAATGAATACCCCATTTCATAAATTTATTTTCACATCAAATTAATCCAATTGTCCTGGTTACCTTAACCCAATTTTGGATTTTGAATCATTCTGTTTTCTTGTCCCCCCCAAATGAGATTTTAGGTGCTATAATCAAACTTAAACAAAGCCTCCTCATAGTATGAAAATGGATGTGCCTCATTATTTGGTGAAGATCTAACCATTCATATATGTTTGACCTTGGAACATTGATAAGATAATTGCAATGCATGACATGCTGCACTGCACAGTAGCTTAATGGAGTCATGGTCAATGTCACATGCAAAAGTTAATGTAAATAGACTAAGAACAAACCATATAATATAATAAAAATGGAAGAAACAAAATAGAAGAGACAAAAATGGAGGCCAATAATGCTCGGGAGTCATGAGGAGGAGGCTTCATGGTTTCAGTCTTCTCTTCTCCTCCTTTCATTTCTCGATGTGCTTCTTCTCTCTTACTCTCTACCACTGTCCTGTTCTTTGGCTTAGCTCTTTTGTCATGTCTTCATCTTTGCCCAACTTTGCCATTTCACTATTGTTAATTTCCCAAATTTTCACTTTATCCGAACCGGTTTAGTCCAACGGTTTTCCGGTTCATTCAGACCGTTTAAGCTTTAGGTTTGGGCCAAGCAAATAATAGCCGTTATCCATACAATGTTCAAAGTCTTTCAATTATTTGAGGAAATTAAAATAATAATAATAATAATACGACAGTAGAAATGTGACCAAACCGAATTTTCTTATAAAAACAATCGAGAATCCCTTAGAAGTCTGTAGGAGAAATTAATTTACCCTATTTTTACTCCTATTTTATTGTAAAGAATTTCGAGTCCTTATTTCTTCTCCTTGATTTATCTCCATTTTAGTTCCTTTTATTTTATTTTATTTTATTAAAAATCACACTCTGATTTAGGGTTTTTACTCTACTTTGGTTTCCAAGTTATTTTGACAATAGAAATGAAAAGTTATGTGAAATAAACAAAATAAACATAATTTTTCATAATTTTTTTTTTGAAGTATCTCCAATATCGCCTAACTTTGAAATTAAAAACTTTTTGGGATATATGGGAGTGCTATGAAATGGGAGAAGAGTCCTAGTCAACTGAAATTAAAACAACAGGTTGGAATAGCAAATAAAAGATGCGTTGATGCCAAAAATGGATAATCACTTAAAGGACCCAATTTAGAAGCATGATGCCTTCGGCCTTGTGGCCCTTTCGGCAGACGTGGATGATCTATAAGATAAAGAGCAATGATAAGCTCTTTATCGGTGTGGTACGACTGAAAGCTCTCCGATGCTTAAGTTAGCTTAAGAACAAAGTAAATAGTAATTTGGACAACATAAGAGCTAAGTAGCCGAATGTTATTGTTACCTTTCTTTTTGGGACTTGTGCCCTATTTATAGAGGTTCAAGGTGAGTGACCTTTGGTTATAGTTTCGATGTGGGACTGTGGGCATCGCCTGAGAGGCCGCCACTTGTCCATATCCAACTTGGTTCAACATGCGCCTTCTTTAACCAGATCGACATATTAGTTTGACGAAGGTTAACCTATTGCTGATGATTGTTTTATGGGCCTCAGTGGGCACCTTTTATAAATCCCATATAACCACATATTGTAAAATAATTGGCCGGTCAAATATGATATAAACAAGATGCTTCATAAAGCTAAACATTTAGCCAAACAAGTCACGGGGGTGGTGTTTGTTGATGATGGCCAAATGATGAAGATTGACATGCAAGTCACATAGATGCCTTTCACACCAGCCATTCATCACTCTTAATACCTATCTTCCACAAATAATTGTACTAATATATTTTTTGCTAGACAAAGAAGTGATATTACTTAAAGTACATGTTGACTTGGTAGCCCTATAATTATGTAGCATTTCCCTAGTGTGCGTGCAAATATATGTGAGAAAACTTGGAAATTTCATGACTCACGCCATTCAAAACTTGGAAAAGGAAAAGAGATGCAATGCTTGGGTATTGACTAGATAAGATTTTCTCATCTTTTACAGCTTAATGCGGCCCAATAACATCGTTACATACACTTACACATGTGCAATTTAATTGTACATATTTATTTTTTGGTAAACAAGAAATAAAACTGGAAAGTTCTCAAAATGGGGATGCTTTCAAGAGTTTTCACACTATTTTCATGGAAGCAGTCAAGAATTGCTGTGGCTTATCCTCTGCTATTTTAAATAGAAATGTGACATCTTTGCTTTTGATTCATTGGTCTGGCGCCGACAATCAAATCTGTCTTTGGCCTTTTGTCCCTCTCTCTTTCTCACCGAATTTATAAAGGAAGCAATAAACTACTGTATATGGTTGATGGCTTTCCCATTTTCCCACAGTGCAAATTGCAAAGAAAAAGAAAACAACTTCACTCATTTACAAGTTACAACAACTGGCTGACGACATTGTCTGCGTCACCCTAGCCCGGCTGGGATCGCTGATGCCATCTCAATCGTCACCGAAGCGACTTCATCTCCTCTAACGAAGTTTCTCTCTTCCTTCTTCTTACTCTCAAACTCTCTCTCTCAAACCTCTCTTTTTCTCTATTCTATGACTCTGTTGCTTTGAAAACGAAAAATGAAATTTCGGAGCCTCATTCGGACTTTGATATGACTCGTACCCTTTAGAATCCCATCTCTCTGTTGTTGTCCTCTTTCCTCTTTGTCGTCAGTCTTGGGATGTGGTGTTTCTGAGTGGTTGATATGGTTGAAAGTTTGCTTCTTTTTCTTGTGGGAAATTTTGGGTTTTTGTCACAATTGTCCTAAGATACGTCCTTCTTTGGTTTTAACTTGTTATCTTCATCTGGGTTTTGAAAATCAGGTGAGATTTGATTAATTTTCATTCATCTCTTTTGTTGAATCTGTAGTATGTTCTGTTAGACAGTATTAAAAATACAACATAGAATATAGTGGATGCCCAATTTGGTTTCTATTGTTATTAGTAGATCTTTACCTTCCTTAATCTAGTTTTGTAGATTTTGTCTGTAATTCCACTTTGGAAGCTTGTGCATAGCAATTTTGAACCAACTTTTTTTTAGTGGTATTGTGGTCAGTCAGTGTTTAGGCATTTGTCATATAAGACTTATCTCAGTTTGAGATAGTAGGTCTTGCTATTCAGCTCAAATTCGTGTATTTTGTTTATGTCATTTCAATGATTCCAACCTTTCAAAATTGAAGAGTAAAAGTCCCAATTTGTGATAGTTTTATATTTCTTGAGTGTTAAACATTGTAAATTTATAATTTGTCATCATATTGGATCTTCCCCTTTTGTTTAGTTTATTTTTAGTACTCTGTTTCTCTTACTTTTTCCTTTCTTCAAAACACTTTCTCTTTTAGGTCTTTACCATATCAATCATCAGGATCACAAGAGCTTGTGTTCTTAGAATTAGAAAGCGTTTGGGGTTTTATTCTTCAAGGGCTATAGCTAGTTTAGATGTTAATATCTTCAATCAATGGGTTATGTGATTAAGCTTGATGCTGATACATCCTAGGCTCCACCTATAGGTCTGAAGTAGATTAATGGCTAATTCATCTGAACCATCATCCTCTTTGAGCTTTACTTCATCATCCCATATATCAAATGGTTCAATAAGCCACAACTTATCTTCCTCTGGTTCTGAATCCGTGCCTAGTCTTGAAGTCATCAGTTTGAGCAAGCTTAGTTCTAATTTGGAGCAGCTCTTGGTTGATTCTGGCTGTGATTATAGTGATGCTGATATCATAGTTGAGGGGATTTCTGTTGGCGTTCACCGATGTATATTGGCTTCTAGGAGTAGTTTTTTCCGCGATCTATTCAAGCAAAAAAAGGGGTCTTCTGGGAAGGAAAGCAGACCAAAGTACTGTATGAGTGATTTGCTGCCTTATGGCGATGTTGGATATGAAGCCTTCTTGGTTTTCTTGAGCTATGTGTATACTGGAAAGTTGAAGCCTTCTCCCAGGGAGGTGTCAACCTGTGTGCACAATGTATGTGCCCATGACGCGTGTAGACCTGCTATTAATTTCGTTGTGGAGTTGATGTACGCTTCTTCCATTTTCCAAATGCCTGATCTGGTTTCGATATTCCAGGTTGGTGTTCTGTTATTTTGAATTTCTGATCAAGATTTTCATCACAGTAAGCCATCAGTCAACTCTAGAGTTTATGATTTCAGTGGAGCTGGGCATGAGTGAAGGTCCCTTTCTTTTTATTGATTTCTGTTGTTACTAATGGTTGAACCATTGTAGTGGATGAGGTGATTGAAGTCACCCCACAAATTTCTAATGGTTTAAACTGCTTGACTTTATTTTTTGAGTTCTTGGCTACAAAGGTGTAGAGCAGTTTTGAAAAGAATTAATGTTCTTTTTTACCTCGATTTTCTGGGGCATGCTAGTTAAACTAAAGTAATTGATGTCACCCCACGAATTGTTATCATCTCATGTACCTGGTTCCATTAATCCTTCAACATCTATATATCACTTAATAAACCAATTTTTTCCTTCAAGCTTACATTAATGAAGTGGTAGGGGTATAATGTTGTTTTGTTGGCTTTTTATGAAACATGGTTTTGTAAATTTAGTCCTATTTTTTCTTGCGGTCAATTTCTATCCAACTTGTTTATAGAATGTTAAGATAGATTGCTCATTTATTTGATAAGAAAAATGGAATTGTTCTGATTTGGTTCTCTATGTATTGGCAGCGACGCCTTCTTAATTTTGTTGGGAAAGCTCTGGCAGACGATGTTATCCCAATCCTTGTAGTTGCTTTCCATTGTCAGTTGAGTCAGCTCATTGCTCAGTGTATAGAGAGAGTGGCACGATCGGATATTGATAGCATCTCTCTTGAGAAGGGACTTCCTGATGAGGTTATTGAGAAAATTAAAATTCTTCGCCGCAATTCTCAGCAAGACTGTGACCCAAACATGCCAGCAGTGGACCCTTTGCATGAAAAGAGAATCAGGAGAATACATAAGGCATTGGACTCAGATGATGTTGAACTTGTGAAACTTCTTTTAAGTGAGTCTGCTATAACCCTAGATGAAGCCAATGCTCTCCATTATGCTGCGGCTTACTGTGATCCTAAGGTTGTGACTGAAGTGCTTGGTCTGGGTCTAGCTGATGTTAACCTCCGGAATTCTCGGGGTTACACAGTACTTCACATTGCTGTGATGCGCAAAGAGCCATCAATTATAGTATTGCTTCTGACTAAAGGAGCTCGTGCATCAGAGCTGACATCAGATGGTCAGAGTGCTGTTAGTATTTGCCGGAGGTTGACAAGGCCAAAGGATTATCATTCAAAAACAGAGCAGGGGCAAGAAGCAAACAAAGACCGAATATGCATTGATGTTCTAGAGAGGGAAATGCGTAGGAATCCGATGGCTGGAGTTACATCTATATCTTCCCAAATAATGCCTGATGATCTGCACATGAAATTGCTGAACCTGGAGAATAGAGGTAACATTTCTAAGATCTTCCCAATTGATTAGTAAAGGCATAGTGGTGGCAGATGATAGTCACTAGGTTTTTTCTCCAGAAACTCTTCTGTTTATTTCTCCCAGGAAGGAAACATAATATTTGCTTTGAGATCTTAAACCAATGAATTGTTTCTTTTATCTTTTATTAATTACTCTCTTGTTGCAAGTTATATTTTTCCTGCACCAGTGTGCTATCTACCAAAAGGAGGTGTATATCCTCTTGTTATCTTCATAGTACAAGTTGATTATTGAGCCTCATGTGAAGGGCACATATTGATATTTTTGCTTCGGTCCATTACCCTTCCTATGGCATATATCAATGCGTGGTTGACATAAAACATATAGCTTTATCCAGGCTATTATATTCTTTCCATTCTAGTTTGCAAAGTCATCTCTTTAGACTTTGGGTGTAGACATGAAGCCTTCTGAATTTCAACCTTTTTCCTTTCGTATTTCTTCTTTTGATTGGTTTAGTGTGCCTCTGAGTCTATGACATGATATCTTTCACTTGTTAGATAAGACCTAAATTGAATTATTTATTGCAGTGGCATTTGCGCGATTGTTATTCCCGGCTGAAGCCAAGCTAGCTATGGTCATTGCCCATGCTGAGACAACCTCTGAGTTTGCAGGGCACTCTTCATCGAAAGGCTCAAGTGGGAATTTGATGGAGGTTGATTTGAATGAGACTCCCAGTGTGCAGAACAAAAGACTCCATTCTAGGTTGGACGCCCTAATGAATACAGGTAAATGCATGCTTTTATCTAGATTCTGGTTGAATTGCAGAGTGTTGGTTGATTCTTCTTTTTTTCAGTGAACTTATGGTTACTAGAATTCATATCCAAGTTAGCAAGACTTAAAATTAGCCACGTCTTGGTCGAAATAATAAAAAGTTCATACTATCGTAGTTATTCTCTTCTGAGCCTTCTTGTCGTATTGTGGCAGTCACTTTGGGTAGACGCTATTTCCCTCATTGCTCGGAAGTCCTGGATAAGTTCATTGAGGACGACCTTCCTGATTTGTTCTACCTTGAGACGGGCACCTCTGACGAGCAGAAAATAAAGAGGATGCGTTTCATGGAGCTTAAGGAGGAAGTACACAAGGCCTTTAACAAGGACAAGGCTGAGTTGAACCTCTCTGGGTTGTCTTCATCATCCTCCACGTCGTCTCCGAAAAAACTTGGTGCAACTCAAAAAGTTAGGAAATTGTGAGGGCATGTAAATTGTATCTATTAAGCCTTCTGAGTACGAACAAATTTTTTTTGTTTGTTCAAGGTTACTGACAAAAGCTTAGTAAGTTTTGGCTTTTCTTTTCAGTGAAATCTTGGCATATGCGAATTGCCCTGTTAACTACACGAACTAGCAAGTATCCTAGTTTAGTAATTCTGTAGAAGTGGTTCTGGATGGTTGGGATATTTGATCAATAAAATTAGTCGATTTGGGTAAGTGACACGTGTTGAGAAGTATGCAAAAGTTTCCTTGTACATGAAAACCAACTCACTATTGGAAAATGAAAGATTATCACCAAACAAAGCATAACACGAGCAAAAGTTCACACGAATGAATTTACAGAGAAATGCTCAATACAGTGTCAGTGAGCATGGAGGCGTCAACCTGTGTTCATTCAAACACTTCACCTACAAGTTGATGTAGACATGCACACAAGGGTCTTGTGGATGAATTTTTAAAAAAAAAAAAAATACAAACGATAGTCTGATTGGATGAATTTTTTAATTTAGACTTTACTATATATTATAACTTTTGTGTTACATTAGACGAAATCAAATTTTTATTTATTTATAATACAAGCCATAATGAATGAGAAATGAACGTTCTCAAATCACTTAGATACAAGTTGAGAAGTTATCATTTTTGTTTGCCTTCTCTCACTACTTCAGCTAAAATCTATGAGCATACTTATTTTTTAATTTTAAAAAAATGAAAAAACGTGAGTCAAGTTGAAATATCACTGAAAAAAAAAACTACGTTGACTGTTGGTGAAGCACTAGATTATGTGCTAAATGCTAGAAGTTGAGGAAGCCCCAAGACGAAGTCCATACTGACATGTACCCATGATTGATCTGGCAATGGCATCTACAATCCTGCATTAGTTCATGCACCACCTGCAACCTTCGACAAATCTGGTAACCTCACGCTGTAAAATTGGCCAAAAATAAGATGCCATCATCGACTGCAATGTCTTGTCTCGCCCCATATGCCCTTCATTGTGCAATTCACTAATAATATCCAAACGCAAACTAGAATCTGGAATGCACAACTGATTCCCTTTAAATAGAAAACCATAATGTATGATACGATAAAATCAAAGCGTAGGCCTGCTTCCACATCACACAAAATAGGGGCAAAGTATGGGTCAGTAGATAACAAATCACGTATAGAATCAAAACCCAAAACATGGTTCTTCATGGTGATGAGAAAGTTTGTTCTCCTGCTCAGAGAATCTGCTACTCGGTTCAAGGCACCTGACTTGTGCTTGAGAACAAAAATAATTTGTTGCATATATGATGCCCACTTCATATTATTTCTCTTCATAAGTCACAGAGATGAAAAGACTCTCCATAACTTTATTCTTGAACCAAGATAACTCCCACATGTGAAGAGACACTTATTTAGTATAGGTTATTAAGACATTCCTCATGCATGAATGCGATTCCAACGGTCCATGTAGGTAAATGCAAACCGGTCTGCATGAAGATATCTTCCAATTTTGTTTCTGATACACTTTTCCTATACAGATATGTGAGAACAATTAACTCAAGTCAATCGAAGTTCAAAGTCTCACAGATAATATATTGCAACTAATTTATTTAGTTAGTTTGAGTAAGACTAATTAAACAAACTAATTTTGAACATCTAAAACTTGGTTCATGAGTTGGGTTGATTAAGCCTCTCTCTTTGGAATGTTCCACTGTGGTATTTGAGACGCTACAAGAACAGAGGAATTTAGTGACAACCTTTTCAACTGCAGGGATTTTAGTCACATTTTAAGATTTTTCTTTCTCAGACTCATAAAGCCTGCATGAAGGTTGCTCAATATTCTTCAATATCAATTCCAGTGGATATGAAGGAAAAGGCCTTCAAATATAATGTACAAGTTCAAACCAGTAAAGGGAGCTTTTGATCGATTGTCCCAAGTAAATCAAGATGATCATGTGACCACTTACAAATATTACTTTATAAAAAGGAATATTTATATCAGAATATTTATATCTTAGAATAAAAGCCCTTTATTTTTTTCCGCCGAATGGAATATATATATATAATAAACAACCAAAAGTTTACCATATGGAATAAAGGCATTTTCTGATATTCCAAAGTATTTTCCAACCCAGTGGTTGCTAATTCATGCTTGACATCAGCGTGCATGAGAAACTGACAATTAAAGAAAAATAAATAAAAGTTCACAGGACATCTTTCTTGGGTAGCAAGCACCTTCATCCTCATCCAAACCTTTAGGCCCCGTTTGGTTCATGGAAAAGGAGACTTTGGGATGAGAAATCAATTACTTTCCCATGTTTGGTAAGTCCAGGCATGCGAAACCGTTGAAAATGAAGCCATCCTCCCAACTTGAGTTTTGTTTTTGCTCATCATGAGAAAGTTTGGGAAAATGAGCCAATATTAAATAAATATTTTTCATGACCATTTTTTCCCCATTAACATTTTAGAATGACAATATATCATTAAATGCATTCTTTTTTTATTTGATTTAATATGGGTATAATTGAAAATTTATATAAACTTTGTTTTCCATTCCTACTCAAAACAAACATGGGAAAGGAAATAAAGTGATATCTCCCGATTACTTTCCCAGCATTACTAAACATGAGAAATGAATTTTCCATTTCCTATCCCTTGGGAAATGACATAGGAAATTATTTCCTCTCAAATTCGTTCCGTGAACCAAACGGGGCCTTAGCAGGGTACACAATGATATGAAAATCATAGGTTTATATGCATGCCATGTAAATGACCAACCAAGCCTTGTTTTTCTATCGGTATAAGTAAAAACTAAGCATTGGATGGAAGAAGTGTATTGAAGAAATGGGCGGTCGGTCCTCAAAACGACAGAGGCCTCCTTCCCCACCGCCGCCTCCTCCCCCACCACCACCGCCTCCTCCCCCACCGGCGCCTCCACACAACTATGAAGCTATTTTGAGAGATGCTGACTCACCCATCAACAAATCCTCAGTGGAAAAACTCCTTGAACAGCTCCGTGCTGGAATAACCTTAAACCAAAAGAGAAAGGTAAGCCCAGCATATGAAATTTAAACACTATGCTCAGATGATTTAGTTTTGTGAAATGTGATATTCCAGTTCGTGCCGAAATTCAGCTCCAAATCAAAATATATGGGGCTTTTAATTTGATTTAAAGAAGGGAAACTTGCAGTGTTGTAAGTGAACTTAGAAACCAACCATCTTTGGTTATGTCATTATTCTGTCATTGCAGAAGTATTGGGTTGACAAGAAGTCCAACAACTGCTTTATGGTGTATGCAAGGGATCTCTCGATCTCTTGGAGTGAAGACGATCGTAACTGGCTCTGGCCCTCCCTGCAAGAAACCAGGTACCAAAAACTTCAATATATAACTTATTGGTTTCTCAGTTTCTCCAGTCCTATTGAAGTTGAAACAGATCCACGCAATATATACAAAAAATAATAATAATTAAATAATTATCATAAAATTCTATCAGTACTCTCAATCCTAACTCAGGTTTCATTGCAGTGGTGTCGTCATTGATGCTGCTGAACTGATTAATGAATGTTGGCTAGAAGTGCATGGACAATTTGAGACTACAAAGCTGTCACCAAGAACTCTGTATGAAGTTGCGTTTGTGGTCAAGCTGAAAGCTTCAGCTGAAGGATGGGATGTTCCAGTGAATGTCAGTCTCACTCTTCCAGATGGTAGCAAACAATGGCATGAAGTTAAGTTGAAGGAAATCCCAAGAGAGCAATGGATAGAGATTTCGGTTGGCGAGTTTAGAGCGTCACCTGAAATACCTGGGGACATGGAGTTTTCGATGTATGAATATGATAGTGGGAAATGGAATAGAGGACTTGTTATCAAGGGTGTTATCATTCGGCCTAAAAATTAAGTTGCAGAATACTCAACTTTGCTTATGAGCAGAGATATGATTTTCTGGATTTTTCATATGAAGACAGAAACCTATGTAAGAAATAATAAGAACGGAATAATGAAATAATGATACAACTTACATTTCTGCTTCAATTCGAACTAGGCCAATTCGAATTTTAATGGCCGGTAGTTTAAGAAATAAGTAGGAGAAGCTGTCATCACATATCATCATCACTTAGCTTAATCAGTTTCATTTCATTTGGTGAGAAATATTTGATGGCATTGGCAAGGTTCTTACCAAGCTTCTCAGGGTTTTCATCACCAATATCATTCCCACAACCACATTCTAACAACAAGTTGATATATCTGACTCCCTCAGCACCTGAAAGTTGAAACCTTCTCAAATTTTCCCAAGATTTCACAACACACGTACAAACTTACCAAAAGCCAGTTTTATTTTTTTTAAAAACTGATGCTGCCCATGATGAGCAACATGGCTCAATTGACCAAGCTGCCAACAAATGGATGATCTCATTTATTTTCCTTTACTTTCTTAAGTGTGTCAAGCAATATAATAGATACAAATAGCAAGAGTCCAACACACTCATATATGAAAAAAGTGAAAATGATACTTTATTCAATGGGATTAGCTTCAACGTCAGATCGTAGTAGATGGTTACCTAACTACAAACCACTACTCACAATATTATTCAACTTGGTCCGGGGGAGGAGTCCCTCGAGAGACTTTTCGCTATTTATTATAAAGTGCCTAAATTCACATCAATAATATTAGAGACGCCAACTGATTAATATTTTCTTATTTTATGTAAATAAATAAAATCGAAAGTGGACTTAGAATAAAAAAAGTTGAGCCACATTTACAGCATATGTGGTCTTTTTACATGGAATAAAATGGCAGAAAAGCTTGTATGAAATGGGGATAATATTATTTTGCTATTCCCAACCAATTATAGACTGCCACATGGAAAAGTTATCACACGTGGCATTGCCGCAACGGGCTGAGGATAGCAAAAGAATGTTATCCCTATTTCACACATGTGTTTCTCATAAAATGAGCCATTAAATAGAATACATACCTCGTTGAATATGAGGAAGCCCAAAGACGAAGGTCCATACTGACATGTACCCATGATTGATCAGGGACTGGCAATGGCATATACAATCTTGCATTAGTTCCTGCACCCTTAGACAACTTGCACACCCTATAACCTTCCATAAATCTAGTAATGTCGCGCTGTAAAGTTGGCCAAAAATAAGATCACCGACTGCGCAATGTCTTGTCTCGCCCCATTTGCCCTTCATTGTGCAATTCACTAAATAATATTCAAACGCAAACTAGAATTTGGAATGCACAACTGATTCCCTTTAAATAGAAAACCATCATGTATGATAAAATCAAAGCGTAGGCCTGCTTCCACATCACGCAAAATAGGAGCAAAGTATGGGTTCTCCTGCTCATAGCATCTGATGAAAAGACTCTCCATTGAAGGAAGTTGAGGTTCCACCCCAAAACCAATTGGCAATGAGGGGAGTAGCCCAACTTCTTATAAGCCCTTTCTAGGTTTCTCAACTCTCCAATGTGGGACTCTTTACCTTCACATTCTCACATCCATAACTTTATTCTTGAACCAAGATAACTCCCACATGTGAAGAGGCACTTATTTAGTATAGGTTATTAAGACATTCCTCGTGCATAAATGCGATTCCAACGGTCCATATAGGTAAATGCTAACCGGTCTGCATGAAGATATCTTCCAATTTTGTTTCTGATATACTTTTCCTACACAAATATATGAGAACAATTAACTCAAGCCAATCGAAGTTCAAAGTCTCACAGATAATATATTGCAACCAATTTATTAAGCCTTACTCTTTGGAATATTCCACTGTGGTACTTGAGACGCTACAAGAACAGAGGAATTTAGTGACAACCTTTTCAACTGCAGGGAGAGAAAACTCACCTCCAAAAAGAGATTTTAGTCAGCAAACTTGCCTCCCCATGTAATGAATCTTGAATTTAGGCATTTATGCATTATACATATATACTAAAGTGCTTTCTATTAAAATAATTCCTACCGATTCATCCGCAACATTTTAAGATTTTTCTTTCTCAGACTCATAAAGCCTGCATGAAGGTTGCTTAATATTCTTCAATATCAATTCCAGTGGATATGAAGGCCCCTTCAAATATAATGTACATGTTCAAACCAGTAAAGGGAGCTTTTCATCGATTGTCCCAAGTAAATCAAGATGATCACGACCACTTACAAATATTACTTTACAAAAACGAATATTTATATCGGAATATTTATATCTTAGAATAAAAGTCCTTTTTTTTTATAATCTTTCTGTAGAATGGAATATATATATATAGTGCCCTTTTATTGAGAGATCTCTCAAATAATTTTATTTGAGGGACGCCCTTTTCTGATATTCCAAAGTGTTTTCCAACCCACTAGTTGCTAATTCATGCTTGACATAAAAAAAGTTCACACGACATATTTCTTGGGTAACAAGCTAAAACTTTCATCCTCATCCAAACCTTTAGTGAGGTACACAATGATATGAAAATCATAGGTTTATATGCATGCCATGTAAATGACCAACCAAGCCTTGTTTTTCTATCTATATAAGTAAAAACTAAGCATTGGATGGAAGAAGTGTATTGAAGAGATGGGGGGTGGGTATGGGCCAGAGACCGAGACCCCACCGCGGCCTCCTCCCAAACCGGAGCCTCCTCCTCCCAAACCGGCGCTTCCACCCAACTATGAAGCTATTTTGAGAGATGCTGACTCACCCATCAACAAATCCTCAGTGGAAAACCTCCATGAACAGCTCCGTGCTGGAATAACCTTAAACCAAAACAGAAAAGTAAGCCCAGCATCTGAAATTCAAACACTATGCTCAGATGATTTAGTTTTGTCTCGTGAAATGTGAAATATTCCAGTTCGTGTCGAAATTCAGCTCCAAATCAAAATATATGGGGCTTTTAATTTGATTTAAAGAAGGGCAACTTGTAAGTGAACTTAGAAACCAACCATCTCGGTTATGTCATTATTTTGTTGACTATGAATTGTTAGCATTATCACTGTTATTGCAGAAGTATTGGATTGACAAGAAGTCCAACAATTGCTTTATGGTGTATGCAAGGGATCTCTCGATCTCTTGGGCTGAAGACGATCGTAACTGGCTCTGGCCCTCCCTGCAAGAAACCAGGTACCAAAAATTTCAATACGTAACTTATTGGTTTCTCAGTTTCTCCAGTCCTATTGAAGTTGAAACAGATAAACGCAATATATACAAATAATAATAATAATAATAAAATAAATATCATAAAATGCTATCAGTACTCTCAATCCTAACTCAGGTTTCATTGCAGTGGTGTCGTCATTGATGCTGCTGAACTGATTAATGAATGTTGGCTAGAAGTGCACGGACAATTTGAGACTACAAAGCTGTCACCAGGAACTCTGTATGAAGTTGCGTTTGTGGTCAAGCTGAAAGATTCAGCTGAAGGATGGGATGTTCCAGTGAATGTCAGTCTCACTCTTCCAGATGGTAGCAAACAATGGCATGAAGTTAAGTTGAAGGAAATCCCAAGAGAGCAATGGATAGAGATTTCGGTTGGCGAGTTTAGAGCATCACCCGAAATACCTGGGGACATGGAGTTTTCGATGTATGAATATGACAGTGTGAAATGGAAGAGAGGACTTGTTATCAAGGGCGTTATCATTCGGCCTAAAAATTAAGTTGCAGAATACTCAACTTTGCTTATGAGCAGAGAGATGATTTTCTGGGTTTTTCATATGAAGACAGAAATGAGAGAATTGCCTATGTAAGAAATAATAAGAACAGAATAATGAAACAATGATACAACTTACATTTCTGCTTCAATTCCCAGGCCAATTCAAATTTTAATGGCTGGCAATTTAATGGCTGTGTCAATCAAGCAATATAATACATACAAATAGCAAGAGTCCAACACACTCTTCATTACAAGCGAAGCATATGTGAAAAAAGTGAAAATGATACTTTATTCAATGGGATTAGCTTCAACGTCAGATCTCGTATTAGATGGTTACCTAGCTACAAGCCTCTGCTCATAATATTATCCAACTTGGTCCGGGGGAGGAGTCTCTCTCGAGACTTTTCGCTATCTATTATAAAGTGCCTAAATTCACATCAATAATATTAGAGACGCCAACTGATTAATATTTTCTTATTTTATGTAAATAAATAAAATCAAAGGTGGACTTAGAATAAAAAAAGTTGAGCCACATTTACAGCATATGTGGTCTTTTTACATGGAATAAAATGGCAGAAAAGCTTGTCTGAAATGGGGATAAATTATTTCGCTATTCCCAATCAATTATAAACTGTCATGTGAAAAAGTTATCACACGTGGCATTGTCGCGACGGGTCGAGAATAGCAAAATAATAGGAGGAGTCTCTCTCGAGACTTTTCGCTATCTATTATAAAGTGCCTAAATTCACATCAATAATATTAGAGACGCCAACTGATTAATATTTTCTTATTTTATGTAAATAAATAAAATCAAAAGTGGACTTAGAATAAAAAAAGTTGAGCCACATTTACAACATATGTGGTCTTTTTACATGGAATAAAATGGCAGAAAAGCTTGTCTGAAATGAAATGGGGATAAAATTATTTCGCTATTCCCAATCAATTATAAACTGTCATGTGAAAAAGTTATCACACGTGGCATTGTGGCGACGGGTCGAGAATAGCAAAATAATGTTATCCCTATTTCACACAAGTATTTCTCATAAAATGGGCCATTTTGGAAAATCAATCAACGACCACATAAATAGAATCCACACCTCGTTGAATATGAGGAAGCCCCAAGACGAAGTCCATACTGACATGCACCCATGATTGATCAGGGACTAGCAATGGCATATACAATCTTGCATTAGTTTATAAAAAGGAATATTTATATCTTATAATAAAATCCCTTTCCTTTTTTCTGCAGAATGGAATATATATATATATATATAATAAAGAAACAAAAGTTTACCATATGGAATAAAGGCATTTTCTGATATTCCAAAGTGTTTTCCAACCCACTGGTTGCTAATTCATGCTTGACATCAGCATGCATGAGAAACTGACAACTAAAGAAAAAAAATTAAAAGTTCACAGGACATCTTTCTTGGGTAGCAAGCACCTTCATCCTCATCCAAACCTTTAGCGGGGTACACAATGATATGAAAATCATAGGTTTATATGCATGCCATGTAAATGACCAACCAAGCCTTGTTTTTCTATCTATATAAGTTAAAACTAAGCATTGGGTGTATTGAAGAGATGGGCAATCTATTCTCAAGTCCTTCCCCATCGCCGTCTCCTTCCCCAACGCCGTCTCCTTCCCCATCGCCGTCTCTATTCTCAAGTCCTTCCCCATCACCGTTTCCTTCCCCAACGCCGTCTCCTTCCCCATCGCCGTCTCTATTCTCAAGTCCTTCCCCATCACCGTCTCCTTCCCCAACGCCGTCTCCTTCCCCATCTCCGTC